GATGTTGATGATGTTATACCTTAAGAATAGGTGTAGGAGGTTTATAGGAAGCTTCTAAACGAATTAGAAATTTTATTTTGGCAAGGTTTAAGTTTAACTATTTTCCTTTAGGTGGTGGCAAGAAGAAGAAGCATAATTAAAGAGGAAGGGAGGAGGAATTCAAAATTTTTGGAGGTAGGAATTCTTTTCCTTACATGTTCAATTGCTATTTCATGTTTATATCATGTTGTATATAGAAATATAATATTTATTTTGTTTCTTTCATGCTTCAAATTCATGTGTAAAGCTTTATGTCAAACATTTGTAAGGAAGGAAAGAATATATGGTCATGTGAAATAAATATCGAATTGATTGTGCATGATTGAATACGGAGTACCAAAGACGGTGCCAAAGGCACATATGGCCCTTGGGGCAATTGAGGAAAATAAATGGCCAAAAGATGTGTACCTGATCAGTACAAGACGGTACTCCGGGACGGTTGAATATGTTTAATAAGTAAAATAAGATGCATGAGATATAGCTATGACATATGCATATGACATTTACATACCTTTCATGAGGACATAATTGAGACATTAAACACATTTTCCCCTTTCTTCTTAAAGCATATTGTTATGTCAACTGAGCATGTTAAGGATTAGAACTTTCTGCTGAGCGTAGCTCATTTCCTAGTTTTGGGAAATTTTTCAGGAGACCCGACTCTTAGGTGATGGCTGATCACCCGAGGTTTACTTACAGACGACGCTTACCGGGTGACAGGTTCCTTTACTGTCTTTAGTAGTAGTAGATGTTGTAGTTATTTTTGTTATTTTGGATGGCATGCAGAAATTGTGTAGAAAACAATTTATATGGCCATCTTGTACATTTTGATAGACTTGTGTTATGATAATGTTGTAGAGGTGCTTTATTTATTTGATTAGCTAAAAAAATTAAATGGAATTGTTGATGAGAAATAAATTTCGCGTCCGATCTCGTTCCCGTCTCGTATCTACGAGCTAACCGGGCCGGATCGCGACACATTTAGCTTCTAACATTTCCCAAAAAAAAAAAGAATCTACTTAGCTTTTCATGACAAACCTTAGTCGAAAATTCTCTCATTGCAAAGATAAAAATTAACCATAGAGTCTTGTATCTATGGGAAACCTGGAACCATATCCAAAGTCTTTGCAAAATAAGGATGTAATTTCTAGGTAGTTCCTTTTTTGAAACCTAATCTACCTTCTGAAAATTTGATCTGAAAAATATAAAAACTCTCTAAGCATAACTAAGGTACAATTTTTTGAAGCCCATAGATGGATCAATTAGTTGATTATAAAGTGTAGTGTATATTTTATGACAATTTAGATAGATTAATTTTTTACTCACTTGATCATGATTAGTAAAAAGGGAGGATGGGTGTAGTGGAAAATGTGTCTAACTGAATTGTCCATCTTTATATGTCTCATATTTGACTGGGAGGGGTCAAATAAGAGCAAATGCTTCCAAGGTTCATATAAGAGCACACACACCAATTACAACAAAAAACACCATAACTTTTAATCCCTCCCTCTACGCTCGAATAGCACTAAGGTTTTAGCATCCTGATTAACATTACAAAAGCTTAGATAAGCATGGATGCATAAGCCAAGTGGCTTGTCACAAACGTGTACCTCAAATAAAAAACTACTTTGGGGAGGAAAGACGTCAAACAAGAGAGAAAGAATCATGGTATAAGAAAGGAAGTTCTGTCAGAAGATAGCATTAGAACTCGTAAAAGATTGGGCTTGTGAGAGACAGTTGTATTAGTAAGATTTTCTTTGAAGCAAAAATAAAACTAAAGTGGAATCAAAACTAAACAAAATTTACCGAATATCTTCTAAACATCACATCATATATTTTAGTCCAATGAATCTCACATATGTTGTACATGCTTTCGCACTAAGCATTACAAATCAGTATTTTTTTTTTTTTTTGAATTCTCTATCACTAAATATTTCATTTGCAAACTTTAAATTAATTGAATAGCTAAATAATTTTAGGTTTCAAAGTTTTATACATCTGAAGCTTCTTATTTTTCCATTTGGAGACACATGAATGGTTTTACAAGCAATCATAACAGAATGTTTCTTACTCAAAAACTTATCCAGGTTCAGCCAAGGATGTTTATGTTAGTCCAAACATTTCCAACTACCAAATGATGGCTTTGATGGAGTTTACAGTCTTAGTTAGCTTTGCTTCACCTATAAATGTGAGCTTCTACATTTGAACAATTCTATTCTGCAGCTTAGTCACACTTAATTCCAAGGAGCATTAAACCGCCTGTAGTGTACTTTTGAAGTTCAAAGTTCTACAAGCTCCACGTAAGGATTTATTATTCTGTGCGGAGTCGGGAGGGCATTAGAAGACCAATAAAAATGCGTCATGTCACCCCAAAAATGTACCGCGCTCGATACCATTGGTACCGCTCGGTACTGAGCATGTAACTGGATGGGAGAACCGTCCGGTGTCTGCATAGAATAATAACTCCCATGTAAGGGCATCTCCAACCGAAAAACCCATTTTTCACTCTAAAATGCAGTAAAATTTCAAAATGTCGTAAATCATTTCCAATCAAACTGCATTTCTTTCTTCTTTCACGCGCTTCCTGCAAAGGTAACAATCTCTCTCCTCTTTCTCGCTCGTCTTTGGCAAATTGGGCAACCCAATTTTTTTGCGTAGGTGAACAGTATGATGTCAATATTGGCATCGCACTGTTCACCTAATGAATTTTGGCATGAGATTTGGAGTTCGAATGCAGTGAATTGCGGATGGCATACAGTGGCATGCAGTTCGGATGGAGATGGTCTAAGTACAAGGATAAGGTTGCATACAACCGTCCTTACTCCAGCCCAACCACAGGGGGAGCACCATACACCAACTAACTCTTTTAACTGAACTTTATTCTGGTAAATCGTTAACTATAATAGATATTGTTGAAATTCAAAAAGAACTTTGTTTTATTTCAATTTTTTATCCCAAAACATGAAACTTGAAGTATAAATATATAGTTGGAAGACCGATATCTTTCCACCACCCAGCCCTTAATTACAGTTAAACCTACCTAAAAAAGCAACAACAACAACAAAAAAAAAGGAAAAGGATTTGAACCAATTGTCCAAAATTCCTCCCTATCAATCAGTAGCTTTCAAAGTTGACAAAGTAACAGTAGTATCTTTCAAGGGATATATGTTGTTTGAAGATTTGTAAACATATATACAAGCTTTATCATTTCTTCTTCTTGCTTCTTCATGATGAATGATGGTCGATATCTATATATTTTGTTTTGTCATGATGAACAATAATATATGCAATGTTTTTATGGTAATATTATTATTACATAACATCATCATAAAATTTTCAATTGATATTCTTAGCTCCCCAAGTAGCTTAATTAGCCACGTGACATCACATATGCCTTCATAACTTTAAATACCCCGTAGCTTCTTGCTACAATTGATTTTTTCTTGCTCCATAGATTTTAAGCATACTAAACCTACAGAAGATTAGGTGAATATCTAATTGATATTTTTTTACTCTATTTATTAGTTAACAAAAAATGTAAAAATTAAGGAACGGTTGCTCAGAAAATAAAAAATACATGAATCTGAAGCCACAAGCATTTGAGATGTTTTCATTTTTTTTTATATTACCAAAATCATGTTTTCTTTCTCTTCTCAAGATAATCTCCTATTCTCAGAACAAACAAATAGACATAACTAATGCCAGAAGTTTACCTCAGGCTTCTTGCCAGTCAGCTCATCCGCCAGCCTAACACACTGGTTAACATCCAAAGTTCCAACCACAATGCAGTCTTTTCCATCATTAGAGAACTGAATTTTCTAAAACAGTAAATGAGATTCTAACCCAATGAAATAATATAAGGTTTCAAAATTAAGAAAAAGCTGCAGTAACTCTTTAAGGGAAACGACATTATTTAGAAAACTATGTATTATGCATTTCTACGAATATAATATGATTCCAATCTTGATTTTGACCTGAGAAAGTCTAGTTACTGAGAGAAAAAAAAGGAACATAAAGAAATAAAATATCATGCTTATACTACAAAATATGGAGAGAACAATACTAAACCATCATTTTATTAGAAATAGTGGATGGATATCTTTTGATGAACGTGCAACTGCAAAATAAAGAAAATAGATGTGATCCTTCGCATCCTTGAATAACTAAGTAAAACAGAACATATTAAATTTTAGAGATAACGCAATATGCTAGCAACATATTTAAAAGGACAACATGCTAAATGTAATCTGGATTAAAGAAAAAGAAATGCAACATAAGGCAAACAAAAATACCAGCACTTAAGATACGAAATTTAACCTAAGAAAAAATAATTTTGTGTCACATATTGATGAAGATATCCGACCTTGGAGAGTCTATCAAAGACGTGGCCGCCGATCTACGGCCACGATATCACCGCTTTACTTTTGATATTCATTGTATTAGATTTATTATGGATGTATTAGTTTATTATGTTTATGAGATTTATTATATTTTTCCTTTTATGCCCTCGATCACTTAAGGGCCTAGTCATGTGTATGTCGTAGGAGCAAGTTTGTCTTTTATATTTTCTTCATTGTACTGGCTATTTAAAGCCCCCTCCTCCTCCACCTTTGAGGACCAATGAAGATTATTATGAAAAATTTCAGCTTTTGTTTCTTGTCTCTTATGTGTTGTGAGAAAGAGCTTTGGAGAGAACCCTAGGTAAGGGTGATGGATCATCCACCAGCCGCATGAAGTGTCCAGGCTCGTGGTCAACCTTCTTTCCCTAATTTCCATCCTCCTCCTCCCATAACTGCCGGTCACCTTCCTCCTAGCTGTCAGTTTCAAGTCTCTCCTCCGCCATAGCCGTCGGCCTCCCTACTCCTCCCCTCTGTTTTAAGAAAGAAGTGCATGGGTTCCGCTCATTATGCCAAAAATGTCCCATTCAAGATTTTAAAGTTTTTTTTTGAGTTGCGAGTTTTGTACATTCACATGACACTAATGACAAAAATGAGGTGAGTATGTGCGTGTATGTGTATGTGTGTGTATATATATCCCAAACCGGTGGGTTGTAATAGTTAAGATGAAGGGAAGCTAAAGAGCTTACCCGTTGGTTGATGTCTTGAGGAGATGATGGTGCAAAAGAGTGTACCATTAGTTAATGTCTTGAGAAGATGATGTGTAATAACCCGTATTTTGACTGAGTTAGAGAATTTTTTTCTGGAGTCAATATAACTCAAAATCGCAAATCGTCTTAGCCATAGTATTTTGATTGAAGTAATTTACTTACACAATTTTTTTTTAATTTTTGGGCATCACATGACAGCTCGTCCTCATGCGGGAAGACGAAGGAGTAGCTTCGTCGTCTGAGGCGCATCATTTTTATCACCGAGAGTCATGCTCAAGAATCATAGAAGACAAAGGGAAAGGTTGTTTAATTGCCGCTTGGTGTCACGGGAGGTGGATTGAAGAGCAAACCATTTTGGTTCCCTCTCTTGGAATCACGAGGAGATGAAAGGGGATTTCGTTCATTTATAAATCATGCAATTAGACCGAAATACGGGAGAGATTGAGAGAGACATAGAGAGAGCGTAAGCGAGAAGAGAGAAAATGCAAATGACAAGCGCGAGCAATAGTAGCCAAGAAAGGCGAGTTGTTTGCTGCCATTGAACTATTAAATAGAAATGCTTACACATGCATGCTTACTGATGGAGCATATCCCCTTATAGTAGTAGCCAGAGACGTAATGTACCCATGTGCATGAAATAGAAAAAGTTTTGAAAAAAGTTATGAAAAAGGAAATGGAAGTACCTTCATTGGTACTATTCAAACGGTGTCTTCTATATTTGCAAAACATTCACATGTATTATTTAAAGAATTTTATTGAGTGGAAGAGGAAATAACGTGTATCTTAGGCGCGACACTCCTAGAGCAAGGTATTTATATTATTTTAATTTAAAATGTATTGAGGTTTTAGTTGCCCTTTTAATATATTGAAAAATAGTTTTCATAAATGAAAAATTGAAATCGTTTGACCGTCTATTCCAGCATTATTAATTCAAGCCTCCAGACCGAGTTGTGGCATTAAGTGGTATTAATGCCTAATGATTATCTTAGAAATAGAAATCATAGTGAAAGAGCCGTAAGAATGATTCGTGAAAAATTTACATATTCGATTAGAGATTATATTTTAATTTATCACCATCTAATTGGATCTCTAAATTTCTAACGAATCATTCCTATAGCTCTTTAACTATGATTTCTATTCCTAAGATAATCATTCAGCTGTGATATGACTTTTGTTACAACCTAGTCTGGAGGCTCGAAGTATCCCACTACTAAGTTAACAACTGCCAAGCAAAAGCAGCAATTTAATCATTTTATTAAATAAAATAAGTAGCATAAAAATTCTTTATTTACAAAAAAGGCAACAATCTACAGTAGTATTGTTGCCATCTTTTCCTCTCTTATTAAGATCATGCGTTTTAGTACAAACAAATAATACTGTATTCTAAGTAGTAGAATTCAGTAACAAGTATATTTGAGACAAGAAACATACATCTACTTAAGTTCATGTTCCTTCTTCATCAGGTAATCATTGTTGGTGTTTAATATAAGATCTTAGTTTTTCCAACAGATTTTAAATTTTCACCATAAATTGCTAAGGAGAAATGCTAATTTATCGAAATGAAAATAGAAACAAAGGTATACGATACTACAGAAACCAAGGAATAGGATCTTATCCAGAAAATATAACACACAAAATACAAATTAAAAAAATCCAGAATACATACCTTGCAAGAAGAGCATAATTCAGCAAAAGATTTCAATGTAATCGATGATGGTAATGTAGCATTTATACAGCTAACCCTTTTAAATCCTATCTTCTTTCCAGCAACCCGCTCTTTCAATGCTTCATACTCTCGCTCTGTTAGATACTTTCTATAATCCTAGCAAAACTTGTTAAAAGGAAAACACAATCAATTCCAAAATGAAAAACACGGAAATAAACCTATAATTCTACACTATGCATAATCCAGTAGAGAGGCAAAATCAACGGCAATCAAGAAAACGGATGAAAAGGGGAAACTTTTTGGAGCCTCATAAAGGATTGAAGAAAGCATAAAAGCACCAAAAGAAGAATACTTTCTATAATAATTGATGTAGGAGGCTCTGTGACGCCTTGCCTAGTCGCCCCAAATTAGCTCAAACATAATGACCCAACCAAAGGTTTACCACACCATGCTAACCTGATCAAGGATTATACCTATTTATGCAAACTCCATCAAAGAGTTAGGTTGATTTATGTTCCATGAATCTATGGGGAGCCATATTCCAAATTAGATGGAAGAAAGATGGATAAAAATACTTTAAAAAATAAAATAAAAAATAAAAATAAAAATAGAGGCTATAAGTATCATAAGGCACCATGTCACCAAAGAGTGAAACCTCAGTGAGCAAGCTAGAACCATGAGCCCGGCTCCTCCATATGAGTAATCGGACACAATATTTCTTTCTTTTTAATATTTGAGTATTAATTAATGGGAGTTGTTTACCCCTTTGAATATTTTATTATTATTTTAGGTGCTTAGAGATAATAATTATCCTAGTTCCTAGATTAGAGTATTTGGTGGTTTAGCAACCTCTTTTATGTTGTTATCATCTCTTATTCATAAATATATGCTCATACAGGCTTTAGTTTCATTGCAAAGTTAGTAGAAATAAATTTTGGGTTCTTTCTCTTCCCCCTCTACGGCCTCATGATTGCCTCCCCCACTTTTTAATTGAACTAGCTCTCTATATCTCTCTAGTCATGAGTCTTCCAAAACGATCAATCAAGTAAAGACTGAATAAAAGGAAGGATAATCTAAGCATGGTAATCCACATCAAAACCTAAACATAATCCCTCCTATTCTCTTCAATAAACCTTATAATGCCTTGATTGAACCCCTCAAAAGTGGTTACCTAAGTAATAAAGCTTTAAATGTCAATCAAACAACGATAAAAAACCATAACCTAAATATTCTAAACAATCCAACCCAGGTGCCCATTTACCCGTTATCTCCACAGCCAAAACGTAAGGGAGATAATTCTGCATCTTTTTTAAAGTTTTTGGATCATATCCACCATGTAGGATTCCAATTTATCATGATCAAAATCTGATGCTAAAAGCAATACAAGAGTCTACAAATAACCAACCTGAGGAAACCCCCACAGCCAACCAAGAAAACTTGGGAAGGATGGGAAATATAGAAGAAGCCCTTGCCAACCGTACAAATTAATTTACCATGTTCATGTAAAGCCATGCACCTCTTGCCACTTCCATTATAGCAAAACCTACAGAGCAACAACCATTCAAATTGGCAAAGGAAAGAATTTAAGCACAATTGAAAAGGAGGGCGAATTGGGCTGTTAAAACTTTCTTCATAAGTTCTTAACATACAATTCACATCCTCAATCCAAGCGAGCAATGTAATTTCAAGAAATCACAACAAGAAAACATTGAAAGTAAAGGCTAAAAATAACTAAACTATAAATTTATAATAGTTCAGCACAAACCCGACTTACATCCACTCTCCAAGCTCTCTTATCTCTTTGGATTTCAATAGATCCCTCTTTAGTAATGTGGGTGTAAAAAACTTAGTACAAGCATTTCTTTCCTGGAGAAGATTCCCAATCCCATTTTCTCAAGATGATAAAAAGATCTTATAACTTACAACAAGCTAGGAAAATAGTGAAAACAACAATTTGAGACTATTCCCAAACCTTACATAATGAGAAGTGTTTAATGAAATTCTCTAAGGCTGAGAAAAAGAGAAAGGAAAATGACTCAAAGAAAATAAGAAAGAGGACCTTAATGAAAATTGTCTTGAAAACAAATGCAACCCATCCAATATTTTTAGGGCATAATAGCTAGTAGAAATATGGACCAAAATATAGTGAATTAACATGATAAAACATACCTAAAACATCTCATAGACATAAGCTAGTCGTTATAATGAAATATGCTCAATACCATAGCTTATTAAAAGAAGATCACATATCAATTAGCATCCATTATATATACGAGTCAGCTCATAATTTCAAGACAAAGACTATCATCATACATAAGACTATATGGATGTATATCTGACCTTGACCATATTTATGATTTCAAGGATCATACATATGATGTGTTTTGCCGGTTATGAGTAAGAGAATGAGCGAATTTTGAAAATATAAAATGAATATTAGTTAATAAAATTATGAAAGATGGCACATATGTATTTTTTACATTCCAAAGCAGTAATGCAATAAATTTCTCAAAAATAATTTTATTTGATTTAATTGTGTATATTGTCATTCTAATCAAAAAGTGTTAATCTGCATCATATGAAATTGACCAAATCAATTCCTAATGAAGTGAAACCTCGATCACAAGTGCCTGATCAATAAATACACAAGTTTCAGTGGACTAAAAGATTTTCCAAAGATGTTGAAGAATATGTCAAATACATGGAATGATGGACACATATGCTATAACTTGAGCCATTTCTCTACTCATTTATCAACCTTTTACAAATATCCAAAGAATTTGGCCTCTCATAAGGCACGTGCAATGGTTTTATTAAACTAGGTATTACCAAAAGATTTGATAAAATTTTGATATGTAAACCAAATCATTACAGAAAATAGTTAAAACAAAAATAAGTGCACATTTTATTTTTGCAAATATTAATTTCTCTTGCCATTTTAGATCTTTTGAGTCTTCGTGGAATGAACTTTATGATTGAAAATAAGGACTAAAATATTATCATTTAAAAATCAAATTGAAGTGATTCTTCATGAGAAGAGAAACTAAATAAATACAAAATCTAATGAAATAGAATAATGAAAAAGGATGCCAGATAATAAAATAGAATAAAGGGAAACATCATAATAATGTGACGGTTATCCCTCAAACCAAACAAAAAAGAAAATTACATATCCACCTTATTTTTCTTAGACCAAACAAGTGAGTTAAAACTAATTTTATTCAATTCCTTAAATCTTTTCCATTTATATTCCTTCTCATTTCCTCTCCTTCAATTATTTTAAAGCAGACAAAGCCAAAATTTCTTGAAATAAGAAGTATGCCCAATTCCAGTTCAGTGTTTAATCAATCCGCAGATTCCGCACGCAAACTCAAAGAAGTCAAAACACTCGTTAAGTCATTACAAAACTGGTGAACCTAAAACATGTGTGAATCGAAATCCAAGGAAATAAGCTCTATCCCAACTGAGATTAACTAACCTCGACCCCACAGGACTCGTTGAAATCGTAGAAAGTGCGTATGCGCAGTCGGACGGCAGCGTGCAGCTCCTCATCCGAGAAGCACTCCTTCACGGACGACAAGTTTAGGTCAACTCGAATGGACTCTTGTTTGCAGATGTTGGTAGCAGCAATCCGCCATTTTAGGGTCCCAGTCGAGAAGGGCGGATGGCTTAAAGGTACTTCGTTAGAAATAACTACGACGCGATTAGGAGTAACGTTAGGGTTCGGGCTTGGGGTGAAGATTCCGCGAGCGAACGGAGATAAGGAAATGGATACGGCGGTGAGACGAGTGGATCCAGAGAAGAAGGCCATCGTCGCCCTCCGGGATATTTTGATCTCGCTCTGGTTATAAACGGCTTCTTTGCGGCCGAAGCGATAAACTGTCCCGCGGTTATTCAAAGTGACTGGAGAGCTCCCATGCGAGGGTCTGCGGGCAATAACTGATTGGCGGGAAGCTAGTTCGTGGGTCCGTGAGTTATTGAATAATTATTAGTTCCGGACACCTGATTTAGCTCTACATTCAAACGTCAATAATATGTCACAATGTGCTTTTATTCTTTACCGCGCGGCCCGACGGCCTGGACCCGATATTGCTATGTATTGGCTGATTTGTACAGACCGGGTTATTTCTAGGTATTGTTCGGTATTGGTCGACAATAACGAGAAATACCAATCTGTCATGGCCAATACCTAGCAATATATTGGTTTTGCTAGGTATTGCTCGGTATTGCTAGGTATTGTCGGTATTGCTAGGTATTGGTCTTGACAGAGCAATATTTCTCGCTATTGTCAAGCAATGTCTAGCAATACCGAACAATACCTAGCAATACCGAGCAATACCCGAACATAGCAATATCGGGTTCCGGTCTGGGTCAGGACGTCGGGCGGCACTGTAAAGAGTAAGAGCACGTGGCGACATGTTATTGGCATCCGGATGTAGAACTACGTCAGGTGTCCGGACCTAATAATTGACGGAATAACTAGCCTTTCATTTTAGGGAACAAAAAATTTATATAAATGAATAAAGTAAAAAAATAAAGATATAATTCAAAATAATTTTTTTATTATATTATAATAAATAAATTAAAAATTATTACAATTTATTAATTTATTTTACATCTTTTAATAATGTTACGTTATAACCTCAGCCTATATATCAATTGAAATTACGTCAAATACATACTTCCTTACGGTAGAACAATGCGCCAATGTAATAAATAATAATATCCTAATTATCCGTTCGCATAAGACTATTTGAAATTACATGAGAAGTTAAAATATTGTCAATTGAAATAAATAGCCACTAAGATAAAACCAGTTACCTAAATGGCTAAATTAATATCAGAAACTATTTTATATCCAGTCAAAATCATACAACCCACATGATCTGGGTGAATTATTACGTCCGGTCACCGGACGTCCGGACATCCAATCCAGATGTGCCACGTCATCCAAATACACCGGGGCCCGGTGTATTTTGGTGATGTGGCACGTCTGGATTGGTGTCTGGATGAATCCAGATACCGGATGTAATAATTTTCCCATGAGGCGAATTATTACGTCTGGTCACCAGACATCCAATCCAAACGTGTCACGTCACCCAAATACACCGGGATTCGATGTATTTTGGTGACGTGGCATGTCTGAATTGGTGTCTGGACGAATCCGGACACTGAACATAATAATTTTCTCATGGGATCTGAGAACAACTCTTGATATACATTTCTACATATTTCTCTATGCTACGAAGTGGAATTTTTTGATCTGTCTATGATCAATTAATTCAGGCATGAAAAGGGCAACATTTTCTACTATATTTAAAGCACAAACCTTGCCCATTTGATCATCTTCGAATGCACCAACACAACGAACATCAAAATGTAGTTCAAAATCTAAAGGTGAAATATAGTAAGACGTCTATAGGAATTTCTTCCACAATCTTTATTTCCGTAAAAAAAAATATATATGGTTCTAGTACATTCCTTACCATCCCAACAACTACCAGCATATACCTCCTAGATGTTTATCCATATGAAAATCAAATAAGAAAATCAAAAATCAAACAAAAAAATAACAAAAAGAACAATCAAGCAATCCGTTCAAATCTGACCTAGATGTCCCCGTGATGAGGATCGTGTAATCTCTTGACGTTGGACGCCCTCACAATTTGCGAACAGAACTTCAATGTCCGACAGACAAACATTCCCCTCCCAAGTGAACATATTTCAAACCACAAGCAGTCGACTGAAATCCAAACTCCGAAGCCTCCTCTTGCGCAAATCAGCCGACCAAACTCCGAACTCCGAAGCCTCCTCCTCTTGCCCGAAGTTTTTTTTGCAGCTGTGTATGACTATGGGTGGTTAGGGCAAGGGGGGTGTAAAATAAGAGGCTTAGGGGGGTCAATTTACTTAAATGGCTACTTTTATTTTGTTTGTGTGGGGGTGCAATTGCTCAATTCAATATAAAATAGAGTTGAGTGTGTTTTTGTTTGATGAAAGTCAAGCCCATCTAACTGAACTTGAGCTTGAGCCCAATTCAAGTTTATTTGTTGTTCTCAGATTTGTTTAATTTATGAAATTTGATGTTTTATTCTAAATCTAAACAAGGAATAGTTAATTAGACTAATATAAATAATGATGTATCAATTGAAATTAATCGAGCATATTCGATCAACCTAGAAGGCCAGTCGGGCCAAGTTTGAACTCGAGATTTCATAATATATGAGCTCTAATTTAAGCTCAAACTCAAACTCATGGCTTGATAAGCTCGGCTCGTGAGATCATTAACATGTTAACTTTGAGCCGACTTAGCTCCCTTATATCTCTAGTAAGATGGTCTGAATGACCATTTTTTCCTGCTTGGGTGTGGGAGCAATTAGTTTTCATACTACAATTTAAAAAAGCTTGCAAGATCTATATATTACTCAATAGTGAATCATACAAAAAATAGAAATTTTAACTCATAAATGACAAATGTTATAAATGTACACGAGTTGTTGAAATATTCAAAGATTTAGTCTATGGACACAAAATAACTTGGCAATCATTAAATTAGAAACCAAAGAGAAACCAAAAGATATGAGGGAAAATGAGGCAAATCAATTATTATATTGCTAACCTCACAAGTTGAGAGATCTTAAGCAAGATAATAATCTAATTTTAACTATTTGATAAGGATGAAGTGAGTTGTCTGTTTTTGGAGCCTTAGATTGATACATATAGAGTTTTTTTTTTTTTTTTCCTTTGATACACCATTCTATATATGGTGTAGCCAAGCCATCATCGTGCCTTTAGTTTGTGGCATTCCCTCCTTTTAATACTAATGTGCTAATGTGTTATGGACATTTTGGCCATTATCATTATAGGCAATCATTATCTCAACATGAATGATTAACCTTGCCTATAGTAAACCACTATGCTCGATTTAATTAGAATTCATCTTATACCCTCTTTATTTGGTTGTGCAACTATCATTGCACCATTTTACTATGCATGGAAAATGCAATTAATAGAAATTCTCATTTGAGTTAATTTAGATGTCATTAGGAGTAGACTACTCTATGTTCTATAAGCATTAGCCTCTACATATCCCCCGCCATTAATGAATACAGCAACAACAATATCAACAAACCTTTATCCCAATATGTGGGGTCGGCTACATGAATCTTTGTTCTCAATTGTGTCATGCTAAGAGTCAAATGCTCATTTAAATCTAATAGAAAAAGATCATTTCTAATACTTTATAACCAAGTCTTTTTAGGTCAACCTCTTATTTTCTTAATATAGGCTAAATCTAATAAGTTTATTCTCCTAACTAGGCCATTAGAAGATCAATCTTTTATGTGAACAAAACTTCTAAGGCAACTATCCTTAATCTTATCAGCCATTAAAGCTATAATAATCTGAATTTTTAAAAATTATTGAAAATAGAATATCTGAATTCATGTTTGATTTATAGCGCAACAGAAAAAAGGGAGAAAGCTTATTTTTAGCAGCTGAATGCTTTGTTGTTTTTGTAGAAATTGCTAAGATCACTGTAGGTGCATGATTATAATCCTATCTCTATTTTCAAATATTTTGATTTTAATTTTTGTATTCTCTCCATAACAAATTTTATTACATTTTCTCTTGATTTATTGAACTTTTATTACACAGCTTTTTATATTTTATCATACTGATTATCTTAGGCATTTTAACTATAACATTTATTTAATTTCACCCACTAAAATAGAAGTTACTTTATTTTGTATTATTTTTATTGATTGAATAACTAATATTTTTACTGTAAGCATATTGTTAATACAAGCATTATGAATAAATATGAACATGTTGTTAAGTTAGTTGGTCGCTATTATTTTTATAATATTGTGATAATAATATTTATGAGGACAAGAAAAAGCTGGTTTCACTGATATTGGCTGGAGACCGAATGACCTATACAGGATGATGGGTCAACAAGCTTTTATTACAATATTATGATTTGGTGTTATCCTCTACTGATTGGAAATAAATAGATAATTATTGTACTGACAAACAAAGAGTGACAACTTAGTTTATTGAGCCAGTGAGATATTGATACATATTACTACTTACTGAAAGAATGCTGCTTTAAAAAAAATTCTTAGTTATTTAGTATAATTTTGAAACGCGTGTTATTAATTTATTATTATTATTACTATAGAATTTTAATGCTTTGCTATTATTGTTTACTGATTTACTTCCACCGTATTGATTTATCATTATTGTGTTGCTTTACTATAATTACCACAAATTTTACTAAAGACATTGTACTAATATTGCTACCGATACAGACATTGATGCTATTTGGTATTATAATTGATTCATTATATTGGTTACTAATACTAATTCACTATAATGATATGGAGCATGTGGTATACTGAGCACATTATTAATATATTGATTTAATACTAATATTGAATAACTATATAACATGTGCACATCATTATAAGATTTTTACTGCATTGACATGATTCTAATAGTATTTATTGATACTTTAGTTTTACCGCTTTATACGACTTTTTTACAAATTGATAGTAATGATACGATGACTGCTTTATTAATTTAACACCCGTGCTGGTTTATTGGTTTTCTAATTGTACTATTTTACTGGCTTTCATATCATAATGTCTTACTGTTTACAAATTCTAATAATACTACATGTGTGTTTTATTATTTCTAAATTGATTCAAGATCATATGACTACTATTATTATGAATTAATTAATGAAATGTATTATAATAGTCCGTATTTTGACCCAAAGATCAATATCAATTGGTTGACGATTTGTCCTAAATTAAGATTAATACATAATTAGATGATAATTGGGGTTGACCGATACCAATTGGTTAATAGTTGGGCCTAAATTAAGATTGACATGCAACTGAGCGATATGGGTTAACTAATACTAATTAATTAATAGTTTGC